AAAAAAATGAAGAAATGATATAAATCCCACACCACAGTGAAGAACTTTTAATGCAGTGCCTTACAGTTACAGCTATTTAGTACAGCAGTGAACAACTCTCAACTCTTTCAGATTTTGGGTTCCTCTGTTATTTCTGATTTATGTTAATGACATATGGCAAAGGCAGTTAACGTCAAGCTTTTATTATATGCTGACGATTCGGCCTTAGTAGTTTCAGGGACAGAGGTACAGGCTATACAGGAAGAATTAAGTAAAGAATTGCATTCCATTAATAAATGGCTCAATGATAATAATTTATCCTTGCATCTTGGAAAAACAGAAGTGTATTATTTTTGGAACTAACGATGTAAATAAGTGTGCTAGTCATGCTTTTTGTGTATATATCCTTGGTAGTTATCCAATTTTATGAATTGGGAATATTATTGTAAAAGTATGCTATATATATGTATTGTATATGATGGATAACTGCCTAAATAAATAAATAAAATAAATAAAAAATCATCGAGGTGTGGTGAAGGCTCATCAGCATAGCATAGGATGTAAGTCCCATCAATGTGGCATTATACCTTAGCCGTGGCAATCTGGCCTTCTGTGTCAATTCTCTCCATCGTACCAGTGGCAAAATACGGCAGAATCACGTGGAATGACCTGGCCAAGTATCTGCAACGAAAAAGGCTCGCAACAATGCTATGGTGACTGTATGGAAATGGGATAATTATGTGTATACTTATTATACTCTTAGTTATATGTATAGACACAAGCACGCACACGCACGTGCACGCCCACACGTAATGTGTGAAATTATTATTGTAAAATTATCTCAAAAAGAGAACTCGCAAAAAGAGAACATCTCAAGCCAATGAATGCATACATAGTGTATCATACCTCGGTATAGCATAGAGTACAGACAACTGCTCAAATATGATCTGTGGTGAGTGGAACGTCGCTAGGAAAATGACTGAAATGCAAAACCATTTTAAGTTTTATTTTGGTTTTCATGGTAGCATTTACTTAAACTTTACAGAATTATACCAGGATGATAGCTTGAAGACTCATAAAAGGTCCTGTGTGCTATATCTTTACAGAACAAAACAATATCAGCATTCCACAAAGTTCATACCATCTTTCCCTGCCATTTCCTTGACTTCGTCTATGAATATGTTGGGAAAGCCATCTTGGAAATGCTCCCAGTGGACAATCCTTTTCCAAACCACACCCCTGGTAGACTGAATGAAATTTTAGAAATAAATATTACAGCTAAAGCTTGAAGAAAATAATGCATGCGATTTACATCGTCCCTGTGAGAGACAGTAAAAGCAATGGCATAATAACAAACAATGTCAGTTTTTAAAAGCAGTTTTAAGTTATATTTATCATAATATAAATAAATATATTTATACTGATGGTATAAATATGTTAAAGATATCTTTGATATGGAACAGTGAAAACTTGTATGCAGCATACAGAAAATATATGCTGAAAGTTGGAGTAACAATTTACACCACACATTATGTTAACCTACATTACAACAAGAGCTAATTAATACATGTATTATTAGCTCTTGATTACATGTTTGTACCGTACAAACCAACCAACAAAGTTTGTGCCTACACAATGAAGACATCTTACATTTTTCATCTCAAAGCCTACAGCACTGCAGTGTTCCATGATGCTCTGGGCCAGTCCTTCCATACTGGAGTGGGACAGCAGCCACACATCATCTTTACTGCTCTTCAAAGCTGAAACATAGCCAGATGGAGAGGATGTCCTTCAGTGGTTTGTGATTTATGAAAACAGGGATCAGGTGCAGGAGTTACACCTAAAGGTGTGCTATAGCAGTTGCAACATATAAGCTGCACCTAGGCTGACTATTGCCACAACAGAGCACAAAGAAGGAAGTTCACATTATAGAGTTATGTCACAGATGCATAGATCTTTTTTATACATCATAGTTCCCAATAAGAGTGGCTTTGTATCAATAAACATGCATGCAAACGTGGTACTCCTGGAGTTGCAGCCCCAATACACCAACTTTTCCACTAGTGCTGGGATGCTTGGAACTGTGGATTATGGACTCATGGGGCATGCACTAAATAAAGGGCAATGGTGCAAGCATGCACAAGTGGGTGCACTTCTAGTGGCATACAAGTTATAAATTAATCTTGACAGAGATTGCCAATAAAAGATCTACAAGAATTGATCTACTTACATAAATATGAAATTGGCACATACCGTCAATAACAAAATCTACAGAATTCTGGTACACAAATGGTGGTCTTCCTGACATCTTGAGTTGTTCCTAGTGCCAATTAATACAGCCTCACTAAAATGAGCAAAAATGTATTTTAATGTATAATCAAGTTGTAAATGCCAAAATGTTGTTAAACGTTATGCTTATTATCAGGAGTGTATCAATATTGATACACTCCTGTTATTATGTACAATTAACATACAACGCCACATGTGAAAACATATGTACAGACAACATACGAATCCTTGTGACTTCATCATGTTTCCAATTTTTCGAGTCCTCTCTCTAGCTGACATATGGTATGTTTGTGCTTTGTTATTGCATTGAGGCGCTCGTGGGGGAGTGGAGGCTGAGGTGGCGACGATACGACGCATAAGATAGGAACATCTATCTTGTATTTCTCGTTGCCACTATCCACCGTGTAGCACTGCACTATACGTGAGGTAAAACTGCTAGTTACTGCGTATTGTCAGGTGGCGCCCCCTGGTGTCGCGGAAAGACACAAAACGCTACGTATGTTTAGCTCAATACCTACAACAGATTAAGCAGGGCCGTAGCTAGGTGGGGGCAGGGGGGGTGGCAAGAGGGGCATGCAGTTAATTGTCGAAAAAACCCAGAGGAATGTAGATACATTACATGGTCAATCACGGTCACCTTCCAGGACCGTGGGTTCACGGTCAACTAGGTGGAAAATGGAATTTGGAGTTGGGATTACTAGGAGGGAGCGCACTAAATTAACAGTGACACTATTACCTGCTGGATTTATTATCACTATATCATTATCGATGTTTGGCGTTTGAGGTTCTAACGTGGAGGCCAAAAATCAGCTGAATTTGCTAGCCGTTCACGGCAGGTCTTCTCTTTGTGTGTGGTGACGTTCCTACGACTGTTTCACGTCATATAGGAACGTCTCCACATAGTGAGAAGCGAGAACTACTGGCTATAGTATTATTAGGCTGCGTTCACACGAAGCAAAAATGCCAAGTCAAAAACGATCCGTGTCAAATGCATCCTGGGCCAAGCGTTCACACGAAACGACCCGAGCACTGGTTCATTTTTGCCGTGTGAGCGCGGTAGACGTCGCTAGTGTCGAGACCCAGAGTTTACACAGAGTTTCTGTATGTTGATTGTTTAATTTGCATTGTTCGCTTGGATGCATTGTTTTTTTTTCACCTCGCAGCACGCAGCTCGCAGCTAGAACTGATCGATCAAACGTCGTGTGAACGCTCTCTTCAACGACGCTCCGTATCTTTTTGATCCGGATCAGTCTCGGATCGTTTTCGACCTGGGACGAACGCTTCGTGTAAACGCGGCTTTAGTGTTGACTCTGCCACAAACCTGTGGGAGAGCTAAACTACGTCTAATAGTAATACTATAGCTAACCAAAATTGCGTCCTTATGGTGATGTTCTCAGATTGTTCTCTCGGGAACTCTCTACCATCTCGGTTTAGGGATTGCTGCGCCCCCTAAGAACAATATATACAACGCATATTCTGTTCTCAGGTTCTTCTAGCGTCCTGCGATCCACTTCGGAAACTAGCACAACAGAACAACACACTCAACAGTTAGACCACAGAAACTTGGAACGTTTCAATAATAAAATGACGGTAAATAAACACGAAATGTATTTACTACCAAAGTATCAATTTTGTTCTATACTCTCTTTCGCCTATTATTGTACAAATAATTTCCTGCAAAACCCGTTCAAATGCTCCTCTGCAACACACAACACAAGTCACAAGTACTCCTCTGCATACACAAGTACTTCGCGGGAGTCCCACTTTAGTTTACTACTACTACTACTAGTACTAGTAATAACTAGTAGAAGTTTACGGCTCGCGTCATATTTTTTTCTAGATTCTTGTCTATGCCAATGGGAAGACTTTCTGATATTTCTATTATAAAAAAATATATAAGCAAATAAGTCGGCAATGGATAAACGCGAGGGCTTCAGGTGAAGGCTGCCATCTTGAATTCTTGTTCATAGATGGGTTCTTTATCTCTTCACTCATTTCCCTTTACATTGACGAAGAGACTCTGAACCAATCTAGCCGGTGCTCCACGTGACGTTAAACCTACTGTTTCCAATCTGTTACATATCAATGTATAAGTATATCAGTATCAATTATCATAATGATAATATCCCTGATTGACAAAATATTGAACTATAGTAAAACCATAGACCGGAGAATTTGTTTTAAAACAGACTAAAAAATAAGAGTTTCAATAATCCGCCAGAACCAATCACAAGCAATGACCAATGTCAACATCAACGACCAATCAAATGCTAGATGATACAGCAATGTTTGTAGACTGGTACTCGCTCCCACCTCGATTACTCCTAAGCCAAGAGGTGGGACCGGGTACCAGTCTACAACGTTTGCAATCGCATTTGCGAAGATGAAAACACATTGACGTGTTGTTGTTGACAGCACAATATTCGAAGGTTTCGTTTGAGGATATGTCATCTTTGGGGACCGGCTTATTGCTCGGTAGGCTTGCTCTTGTCACTGGTACGTATAACACAGTGCAAATGCGTTTTACGCATTATTTTTTTCTAGATTCTTGTCTATGCCAATGGGAAGACTTTCTGATATTTCTATTATAAAAAAATATATAAGCAAATAAGTCGGCAAAGATAAACGCGAGGGCTTCAGGTGAAGGCTGCCATCTTGAATTCTTGTTCATAGATGGGTTCTTTATCTCTTCACTCATTTCCCTTTACATTGACGAAGAGGCTCTGAACCAATCTAGCCGGTGCTCCACGTGACGTAAAACCTACTATTTCCAATCTGTTACATATCAATGTATAAGTATATCAGTATCAATTATCATAATGATAATATCCCTGATTGACAAAATATTGAACTATAGTAAAACCATAGACCGGAGAATTTGTTTTAAAACAGACTAAAAAATAAGAGTTTCAATAATCCGCCAGAACCAATCACAAGCAATGACCAATGTCAACATCAACGACCAATCAAATGCTAGATGATACAGCAATGTTTGTAGACTGGTACTCGCTCCCACCTCGATTACTCCTAAGCCAAGAGGTGGGACCGGGTACCAGTCTACAACGATTGCATTCGCATAATCGCATTTGCGAAGATGAAAACACATTGACGTGTTGTTGTTGACAGCACAATATTCGTGGGTTTGGTTTGAGGATATGGCATCTTTGGGGACCGGCTTATTGCTCGGTAGGCTTGCTCTTGTCACTGGTACGTATAACACAGTGCAAATGCGTTTTACGCAGAGCGATGTATATGTCAAACTCACACACACTCGACAAACTGGCAGTAGCAGTAAGTTACGCTGAGACTGAGACTGAGAGGGTCTATGTCCCCCAGGCCCCAGGGTACTGCCGGAACGTACCCTGGGTACGGTCAACGCCAGGCCCCAGGGTACTGCCGGAACGTACCCTGGTACTATCTAATATGCCGGACCACAGGCACTTGAAGCGTTTCAATAAAATACAATGCTAACTAAATACGAAATCTATTTACTACCACAGTACCAGTACCAAATTCTCAATGTTTCTATACTAATTTGGTAGTGAATAGATTTGGTATTTAGTTAGCATTATATTTTATTGAAACGCTTCAAGTGCCAGTGTGCCGGACCGTACCTCGCCTAATCCACTAACGCTCATACTCATAGGGTCTATGTCCCCCAGGGTACTGCCGAAACGTACCCAAGGTACGGTCCGGTATACCGGAACGTAACCTGGTCACTATTTGATATGGTTAGGATTAGGGTTAGGGTTAGCTCTAGTAACTAAAGCTCGCGTACAGTTGCCGCTGGGGTAGGGAGTAGGCGTAGGCGATTCCCTAGACTCGTTTGTGGAGTAGGCGAGGTACGGTCCGGCATATTAGATAGTACCAGGGTACGTTCCGGCAGTACCCCGGGGGACATAGACCCTCTCAGCTCCACTAACGAGTCTAGGGAGTCGCCTACTCCCTAACCCTAACCCTAACCATATCAAATAGTTACAAGGGTACATTCCGGTATACCGGACCGTACCCAAGGTACGTTCCGGAAGTACACTGGGGAACATAGACCCTATGAGCGGCACTTGGCTCTATCAGGAGAGTTCCTATATGTAATTATAGCCTGTGTAAGGGGGCTCCAAAGTACACCGGCTCTATTTGAGCTCCTTGGCTTTTCCACGGGCAACCGTGGTGGGCTGCAGTGCAACTATACTACTGCACTGCAGTAGGTCACTAGGTGCAGTACACGTACATGATCCAGTTTCTATATATATTATCAGGAGTGAATAATAATACTACTACTAGTAGTACTACTAGTACTAGATCAAGAGTACATAATAGGAGATTAGGATAATCTCCTATATTATGTACTCTTGATAATATTTATCTATTATTATTCACTCCTTGTTACAGCAAATACCTGACATGCGATACAGTGTTCGTTGTACGTGTTATGTTTAGGCAGTATAATTATGTATTATATACGCTGTGGCTATATGCCCGGCAGCCGGGCACGGTCTTCGATTTCCTAAATGCCTGGCAGTTCCTAACCCTAACCCTAACCCTTGTTTACTTGAGATAACGCTGAAAATTAAAAACTGCCGGGCATTTAGGAAATCGAAGACCGTGCCCGGCAGCCGTCAGATATATGCCAGCTGCCGGGCATATAGCCACTCTGTCAGGGTTCTCCAAGAGCACTTATAGCCTGGCGGCCCGCCAGGCTATCGTCGAGCCCCGCCATCCTAAAATGCACCCGCCACTCTAAATGTCATAGCCGCCATGCTGGTTTATACACAAGAAGTTCAAACAATTAATACACGTTGTTTATACGCAGAGGCTACGGGTACGGCAGCCGTATCTTAATGTCTCGAGGCTACGGGTACGGCAGTCATACTACGCATGCGCTGCAGACGTATCTTAATGTCTCAAGGCTACGGGTACGGCAGTCCCACACACAAGTACAAGCAGTCACTCTATGAGTATCCCTAACCCTAACACTAACTCTAAACCGACTCGGTTATCTTATATACGCGTCTTATAGTACCCAATTAATCTATGGTGTATTTAACCTTTTGCTTTCAATATTTTGCATCTGAACTGACAATCAATCCCGACCAACTGGTGTAGGCTAGCTGGCACAATAATGTTCATTTTCATACTTCAAATCCGAGTGTTTTCTAGCTCATCAAGAAATCTTAATCGTGAATTAAATCGTGAATTTATTTCCAACTGCATTACTACGGGGCAGGTAACCCAGTCTAACACGAGATAGAGTAGACTGGTACACTTACCGACCACTCCTGCCATTGTCAATGGTGACACGGAACTAAGAGTCGGCGTGCACCAGTCTACCATTCGCACATCTTTGATTTATCTTATTTGATCATTATTATTTTGAATTTTCCGATGGCTTTGCCCATGCAAAACAAACATTTTCACCCCACATGCAGTACGCGCTTCAAATTTACACACAGAGTGTCCCAGATTGCATCTCAGAGCTTCTACAATTAAACAATTTTCCGGGGGGGGGGCATGCCCCCGGACCCCTAGCACTGAGCAGCACCCCCATGCTATAATGAAAAAGCTTGGAGAACCCTGTCTGTATTATATATGCAGTGGCGTATCCAGAAATGGATGAACAGGGGGGGGGGGCGAAATGTACCTGGGCTGCCTGAGGCGCCAGCGCTAGGGGGGTCTAGGGGCATGAATTATTTAAATATTTAAGCCATTTTCCTGCAATCTGAGGCATACTCTGGGCCTTGTCCGCACGCAGACGTTATAACTCCGCTTTGCTAATCTGAGGGTGCGGGTTTAACCCATTACTGGGGTCTGTGTCGGCTCGGACTAACTGTGGGCCATGTACATTAATTCTTCATGTTGATATATGTACAAGCCTGGTCGTGTCGTGTGTAGTGAATTCAATGAACATCTTCATCGCTCCCTCGTTGCAGGTGGTGGCAGTGGTATTGGACGGGCGACATCTTTGGCTCTGGCAAGAGAGGGTGCTAAAGTTGCTGTTGCAGATATACACTTTGCTAATGCAGAGCAGACTGTACGAGATCTAGGTGTGTTTTTCTCATTGGTAGTCTTATTAAAATATTAATTGAGCTTGCATGATTGACATATAGCAAACTGTTTTAATGTTCTTATAATTAATTATATGATCAACTATATCCTTTAATCCAGAGGTGGGTTATTGCTCATATCACTACCTGAATTTAGATAGTGGTAAGTGGTTAAGTTGCTTCTATGTAGTGTGTATATTTGATTTTCAGGTCAGATTAATGACAAATATGCACCATTCCAAGTAGATGTTTCCCAAGAAGGAGATGTGCGAAAACTCTTTGACAGTATCGTGTCTCGCTTCTCCGTGGCTCCCAGTATCGTTGTCAACTCTGCAGGGATCACCCGTGACAACATGCTGCTACAGATGGAAGTCTCCGACTTTGACAGAGTGATCGCCGTCAACTTAAAAGTGTTTGAATTTTATATCAGCATATTTGTATGATTATGAGTCCGGAAGGTCATGGACTTTGTAGACTGGTGATATTATCAGGAGTGTATGTTATAAATTCTATATTATACACTCCTGATATTATGATACTTGGGTGTTTGAGGGACTACAAGTGGAAGAATAAAGTTAACGTGTGTGAAACGCATTGACCGCGTAAAACAAAACGTGCTGATCAAGGTACCAGAAATTAACCAAAGCGTGAACAAGTAAAATTTAACATTGTTAGGGAACCTGAGAACTGCTCCAATAACTGCAAAATTGCTTTGCAGGGAACGTGGCTCGTCTGCCAGGCAGCTGCACGACTAATGATTGACAACAACGCTAGCAACTGCTCCATCATCAACATCTCCAGTATTGTAGGCAAGGTCGGTAACATCGGCCAGACCAACTACTGTGCGTCGAAGGCGGGCGTCTTGGGCCTCACGAAGAGCTTGGCCCTCGAACTGGTCAAGCAGAAGATACGCTGTAATGTGATACAACCTGGGTTCACTCAGTCACCGATGACAGGGAAGCTTCCAGAACGGTTCAAGGATAAAATGTTGCAGATGGTGCCTATGAGGCGCATGGGTACTGCAGAAGGTTGGTTGGAATTTAAAATGATATTGGTTGATCAAACAGGTAGAGGGTATCCAAGAGATTAGAAAGGAAGACAGGTAGTAAGACAGTGCATGATAGGTTAGTTAGGCAGTAGGCAAGGATAAAGGAGCCATCCATTGGCAATCATACAAGGTCTTGTGTGTACACGTGTTCCTTAGCAGAACTTTACTAAATATATATAATTAGTGTTGTGGCAAAACTTTATTAATGCAAATCTGTGATAAAGCCAATACTCAATTACACGTCAGTGTCGCATGGTGCATTTCTATTGCAGAAGTGGCAGAGGTGGCAATCTTCCTTGCATCAGACAGGTCAAGCTACATGACTGGGGCTACTGTAGAGGTTACTGGAGGGCTGGCACTGTGATGCATGTATTTCCAACAGCAGAGCTATAGAGATATGCCTAATGATTTCCAACTGTAAATCGTGCCTCTACATTTCAATTAACACACCAGTATTAATCATCAATTAGTATAGAGCCAATGGAAATGGGTACCAGGTTGTATGCTACAGAAGATTCTTAATGAGAACACTGGTGTGTATATAAATTCCAAAATTATTTGTACAATTTACCATATAAGGTGTGTTAGTATTTTCCTCGTTAGTTAATTGTGCAAGTATACTTATTACTGGTTTAGTATATATGTTTGCCAATTACTAGTCGTATCAAATGTAATCTTTCAGTTTTAATCATAAATTAGAATTGAAATGTGTACTGAACATTAGAAGTTGCAATGAAACCTCCTTACACCTACCCTGTTTTATAGTGAAACCGTTTTTAATTAAATTACCCTTATATTGTGACTGTAAATAAAAAGTTATATAATATAGAATTAAAACATTTTTTAATTTATCAAATACATCATTTCATTAACACTGACATTCAAAATATCTCAACTTCTGAATGACATGACGTCAGTGTTGATTAGAATGGGCTTCCGATTTTACATGCAAGTTCAAAATCAACTTGAGCAATTCTGTGAGCATCTATTTCTTCTTCGATTTCAAGCGCTTCATGTGCTTTTTTGCACCTCGATTACCAGTCAGTGCAGAAGCAGCCATGACCTCTGCATATTTCCTCTTGTTGTATCTGGAAGCAGGCATACACATCTTCATATTAGTTAACAATATAGAAATGGCAAATTAGTACTCATAAATAACAACTAGGTCACCATGACACTGGTATGTACTCCTTCAGAGCTAGCTCCCAGTGATAGTGTTTACAGTGTATGCGAGTCTGCTGCCATTAAAGCCAAAATATGCGCATCTACACGCTAATTTCTCCAGTACTAGACTAGCAAATACTTCGTGTCATGCATAATCATACTACCTTATGACAAAATGAACTAGTTCCTCCCATTTCACTGCGCATTTGCTTAAAATCCACAAGTATGAGGTGCGAAATCTAGTAATCTGGCGCCAACGCCGAATTGTTTGCCAAGCAATTTCGCCCCGAATCGGTTAGGTGACGTCACATGTTGCTACGGGTGTTGAGCAGAGAATATAGTCATTTACAATTTAAGATAGTTGTAGTATTGTGAACTGCAGTGTATGTAACATCAATGGCTATTCGGAAAGTAATAATAGGCAGCGTAATAAACTCTGAGAATAACGTATTGATTTTAGGCTTGATATCGCGAACGATAACATGTCATTGCGCTAGCAGCGTGCGAGCGAAAAACGCACATGGGCCGTAGAAATCTTTGCTACACCCGCTGTACGGTTGCTTGGCAGAGCAACGCGAAAGTGTCAACAACATCGGAGAATTTGAACAACATTGGAGGTATTTTCAAATACCTTTTATAAGACAACGCGCAGTGAAATGGGAGGAACTAGAGTATATTTTGTCATAAGGTAGTATGATTATGCATGACACGAAGTCTAGTACTGGATAAATTAGCATGTAGATGTGCATATTGTGGCTTTAATTTAGTATTCCTACTAGTGTAAGACACACTGATGTGTATACATACTGTCTGAACTGAGCATCAGCCATCAGTTCATCAACTAGAGACTGCTTCCTATCCTTCTTGGGAATTCGTGAAGAGTAGAAATCGGCTGACGATTCTATAACCTTTCCCATCTGCAAAACAGCACCGTGCTTATACTAAGCACCTTGGTATGGTTAAGGAATATATTAGCATGCCTGACAATCGTCACTTAAAATTACATCTGGTTTTGGTAGTGCTACACGCCTGAGGTCAAATATGACAAAACGATGACCTTGGCTCTGATGATGGCATGTACGGTACCTGGAAGTATTTTGGCATTCCTTTCATGTCGTTGCCCTTGTAGAAGTGTTTTGGGTCAAGAGCCCGCCTCATGTGGATCACTTGAAGTTCTCTCTTCACCTCATCTGTGATCTCAGTCTTGGGCATGTCAAACCACTTCTTACCCTTGGTCTTCTCTCGCTCCTCCTAAAACAAAAAATGTTGAATTTACACGAGTAGATTACTGTGAGATTTATTGACGAGTAAGTTCGTGAGTAGATTTGTTCCCAATCAAAAAATTTCCCTCAACTATCGAAAGGTGGCATCAAATCTTTTAGAAGTTATAACTGAACCTTTTTCTGCTTTGTTATTTTCTTCTTGCTTTCTTGGTGTGTTGGCACAGATTCTTGCTTTTCAAACCCTGGTTTGATGTTGCTCTTTATCAGAAGCTGAAAAAGGTTTCTCAATCTTGACTTGTTTTTTTTTAATAATTAAAGGCATAATATTTCCATCGATTAGGCAAAGTTGACGAATGCTACAGTAACTGGCACCTTGTGTAGTTAATAAGTACA